AGAGAGAGAGAGAGAGAGAGAGAGAGAGAGAGAGAGAGAGAGCATACATGGTAATGTAAAGAAAGACGACAGAGAGAGCGAGAGAGAGCATACATGGTCATGTAAAGAAAGACGACGTGACACCGAAAAAAAAAGATTGTAACTGAAACAAAGATTTGTGAAATACGATGGCCCTTTAGGGCCCAAATTTCCCATGTTGTATATTATTGCATTGTTGTCCCACAGAAGTCTAATGACAATGCATATGATCTTCATGACAGCCAGATTCAGTCTCTAAAAAGGTCTTAGTGCGAATATCCTCTCTCCCTCTCTCCATATCCACCACAAACATTTCACAATGTCATTTCCATCAATTACACTCCCCCTACCTCTGCCACTGCTTTTTTGCACCTGTTGTGTTTACAATTTGTTTCCATTTGTCTTTCCTTTTCTTTTCTTAGCTCTTCCTCCATTTCCATTTGCCCCTCAGCTAAGCTTGCTGACCTTTCATCCAATTCTTTTCACTTTCTCTCCATCTCTCCCTCTCTCTCCCTCTCTCCCTCTCTCCCTCTCTCCCTCTTCCTCGCTCCCTTGCTCCCTCGCTCCCTCGCTCCCTCGCTCCCTCTCTCATCATCATAACTGCTACACATACCATCCATCTCCATTTGCCCCTCAGCTAAGCTTGCTGACCTTTCATCCAATTTTTTTCACTCTCTCCGTCTCTCCCTCTCTCCCTCTCTCCCTCTCTCCCTCTCTCATCATCATAACTACTACTACACATTCCAGCCATCTCCATTTGCCCCTCAGCTAAGCTCGCTGACCTTTCATCCAATTCTTTTCACTCTCCCTCTCTCCCTCTCTCCCTCTCTCTCCCTCTCTCCCTCTCTCATCATCGTGATGATGATGATCATCATAACTACTACTCAACATTCCAAATGAAGATTACGACTTTCCCTCTAAAACCCTATCCATGTGGACGCATTTTTTCTCCCTTCTTCTCCCTGCCATTGTTCGGTGGCCAATTTGCCACGTCATCAGCTGATGATGACCATGAAGCCCCGTCACAATTTACCTGCATGTGGACACATTTAAAGTCCTGGTTCAATTCTGCAGGTGCAGGTAAATTCTGAAGAAAGAGTAACCTGTGGTTGGATGGTACACAACCTACAGACCCGGTATGTCCCAAGTCAACAAGAGTTCAAACTCTTAAATAATTTAAATTCCAACCAAGTTTTTTTGCACTACGGGGGAGAACCTCCTAATGAAAGGGACAATTCTACCGTCTTCACCCAAATAGAATGGATGGTCATTATCGCTGCATCTAGACTGAAAGTTGCCCTACTTGACCGTTTTTTGTTTGCAAATCCCTTTTTTTTTTTGTCTGGAAATCCCTACACTGACCGTGAAGGTTCCGAATATGTTTGCTGAAGTTTCTTGCTGATATCAAAACTTCAAAACTCCAAAAAAAGAGACCCCCGAAAGCGAAAAAATGTCCCTTAGAGATCTCAGCCCAACTTACAGTGAGTGATACGCACATTTAACTGTTTATAAACAGATCGCGAGTTCAAACTCTTATCGAACAAAATGAATACAGTAATGTGAGGAGCTACTGCCTTAGTGAACAAGTCCTCTTGGCCTTGCGGTGCATTCATTCAGTGCAGGCAGTCCATTTTTCAGAGCATATTGGTTCAGTCCTCTTGGCCTTGCAGTGCAGTCATTCAGTGCATGCAGTCCATTTTTCAGAGCATAATGGTTAAGTCCTCTTGGCCTTGCTAAAAAAAGGTATAAGGACCCCTTCAAGTCAAAATGTCCCTTGCAGAGCTCAGCCCAAGTCGCAGAATCATACACGCATGTTAGTAGATAATAGGTCATGAGTTCAACGTCTTGCAAATGAAATGAATAGGGAACACAAGTCCCTTGGTGTGCATTCATTGAATTTCATTCACTGCAGGCGTCCATTTTCAGAGCATATTAGTTCTCAGTCCTCTTGGCCTTGCTAAGAAGAAAAGGGGGGTAAGGACCCCTGCAAGTCAAAATGTCCCTCCCAGAACTCAGCCCAAGCCACAGAATTATACAGTGCAATCATCGCTAAGAAAAGGGATAAGGACCCCCGAAAGCCAAAATGTCCCTTGCTAAAGAAAAGGGGTAAGGACCCCTGTAAGTGTCAGTAAATAGATCATGAGTGCGAACTCTTTCAATGAAATGAATAGGGAACACAAGTCTCTTGCTGTGCATTCATTCAGTGCAGGCACTCCATTCCATTGTTTTCAGAGCATAGTGGTTCAGTTCTCTTGGCCTTGCCAAAAAAAAGGATAAGGCCAGAAC